GAAAATGATCCCCAGGTCTTTTGGGACCTTTTCCAGAATTTTTCCGACCCCTTCAAGAAATTTCCAGGCCTTTTCCAGACGTTTCCAGAGATTTCCAGACATTATCCAGACTTATCCAGAGTTTTCCAGACTTCATCCAGATTAATCCAGACTTTATCCAGATTTGTTCAGACTGATCCGGATTCTGGAAAATGATCCCCAGGTCTTTTGGGTCCTTTTTCAGAATTTTTCCAACCCTTTCCAGAAATTTCCAAGTCTTTTCCAGATGTTTCCAAACTTTTCCAGACAATATCCAGACTTATCCAGAGTTTTACAGACTTAATCCAGATTTATCCAGACCTTATCCAGACTTGTACAGACTAATCCAGATTCTGGAAAATGATCCCCAGGTCTTTTGGGACCTTTGGCAGAATTTTTCTGACCCTTTCCAGAAATTTCCGGGCTCTTTCCAGACGTTTCCAGAGAATTCCAGACATTATCCAGACTTATCCAGAGCTTTCCAGAGTTTTCCAAACTTCATCCAGATTAATCCAGACTTTATTCAGACTTGTTCAGACTGATACGGATTCTGGTAAATGATCCTCAGGTCTTTTGGGACCTTTTTCAGAATTTTTCCAACCCTTTCCAGAAATTTCCACGTCTTTTCCAGACGTTTCCAGACTTTTCCAGACAATATCCAGACTTATCCAGAGTTTTACAGACAATATCCAGACTTATCCAGAGTTTTACAGACTTAATCCAGATTTATCCAGACCTTATCCAGACTTGTACAGACTGATCCGGATTCTGGAGAATGATCCCCAGGTCTTTTGGGACCTTTGGCAGAATTTTTCCGACCCTTTCCTGAAATTTCCAGGCTCTTTCCAGACGTTTCCAGAGATTTCCAGACTTTTCCAGACTTCATCCAGATTTATCCAGACATTTTCCAGACTTGTTCCAGCTCACTTGGCTTGTTCCAGGTTCTTGTTGTGTGTTAATATAAGCGTGTTAAAAAAGTGTCATGTCGCTTTTTCGTTTCATCGAGTCTCACATCACTCCTAACGATTCTAAAGAAGTTTTCACTTCAAAATTAATGTTTTGATTTAAAAAAATAAAGTTAGCGGTCACAACTTGTTTCTGGGTCACCCTGTATACATGATATTACCCTCAGAAAAACGGCAACTGAAATCAAAAATCGATGTGTCCGAGGTTTTCATGAGCAATCTCACCAATGTTTATTATTTTTCTAGGTTTTCTGGAAGTTCTTTATGTGATAAACGAATAAACATCATCTCTCCCACCCTCGTAACTACGCCACCTCACTTTTTTTTTTGTGTAAACATTTCAAGTATCTATTTTGCTGTATTTGTATAGGTAAATTTTATTATCTTTGTAATATATTTTTGTGTTTCCGCACATTTCATTCTCCACATTCTTATTTGTTAAATAAAAAGCACAATGTAAATTATAAAACTATTATTATAACTGTATACTTTTTAATTTAGATTAAATATGATAGGTGTATTAGTTTTGCCTCCACAAAAGCCCATAGGATTTATTATTCACCTTCCATGCAATTTGATCACACCCTTCCGTTATCTCGGAAATATTTGCCGTAACGTCGTCTATCACGGTCCTACTTTGAACTCGGCGACAAAGAATGAATTTCGCGCGCTTGAATTTGTTGTTGGCCTCTTAATATTTTTCTATGTTACATACCTACATTTATAATGAAAAAATTATATGAAAAACGCTGGCCGCACGCCTATGACATGCAGCATAAAGCTCAAAATGAATGGCGTTATTTCCCCTTGCCCTTCAGACGTCGTAGTGCTAGACTCGTAAGGCGAACTATATGCAACTTGTAAATCATAAGTATGCATGCCGTAAGCGCCCATGCCATTTCTAATGTTTCATGGCAAGTTGCATTGTTTGCTATGTTCCTTTTTGAGGTATCTCCACATTCGTCTGCCTGTTTTTATTATTCCAGGTTTCATGCATATTGCAGTAGAAAAAGACGGGTGGACAAGAGTCCCATCTCCGTACTCGAGCGGCGCGGTACAGATTTTTGGCGAATAGAGTAATTTTGTCGTCTTGTCTTTATTCATAAATCATACACACAGAAAAAGGATATATCATATTGAAGCTGTTGCCATCAATCTAAGAGCATCGTGACTTTCATATGTGGCAAAGAAATATTTTGTCAACGGAAGAGAAATAATTCTTCACCTAGCCGGAATTAATATAAAATTCTGTGGTTTGGAATTGAGTAACTATCTATTTTTAACGGAGATTATTATATATTTAATATAAAAAACGAATAATTTCTTTCAAGATATTCAGTTTTCCCTTAGAATTCGCGTTAGATTCTATCTAAAGATCTTATACTCTCATTTCGTTAAACCATTTTCTCAATTGAAAGTATAAATACCTTCATGTTGAGTTGTCATTTTCTCTATTCCAGATAATGTATTTATCACTTTAAGGTTACACTAATCTCATATTGAGAGAATGGTTTCTTGATTTGAAGTAAGTAACTTTGTATTGATTTGTCGATTTCTCTTTACAAAATAATTCATTTATCAACTTAAAATACCAATATTCTTGTGTTGAGAGAACGGTTTCTTGATTTGAAAATAGTGAGATTTTCAAATAAAGTTATCTCAATTTCATAATGAGGAATTTAGTTCTTCAATTATACATTTTTATTTCCTCATTTTATGAAAATAGTTTCGCTTTTTATTATTATCTTACCTGATTAAAAGTAGGTAGGTATATCCTATTCACAATCTGTAGTCCAAAGGTACAGGTAAATTTATCACCTTTCCCCATCAAATAGCATTGAAAGTTGATAAATTTTACCTGTACCTTTGGACTACAGATTGTGAATAGACAATATTATTATCTATTATATATTCATAAAAGCAAATAAAAGTTATCACGATTTTTGGTAATATTATGTACTTATATTATGTGGGTATAGGGTATAGAAATTTATAATTAGTAACAACACAAAAAAAAATCTTTTTTTTTAATAAACATTGGGTTTATTAAAAAATAAATCAAAACACAACTTATAATCTTCTATAAATAATTCTTGACTGTTGACAGCCCGCAATATTAAAGATAAAAGTTACATATCTAAATAAAAAAGTAATTATTTCAAATCAAACATATTTTCATCCACTAATCGATCTTGAACGGTTTCAGAACCACTTCTGTATACGTATTTCAAATTCTACGAACACATTTTTAGGTGGCGCAGAATCCTGACGGTGAAATGTACAGTTCTCATCTGCTGGGTTGGAACAAAGCTATTATATTCTGTAAAAAAAGCTTTGGACAATAAAATAATATTATTAATTATGTAGATAGATGAATGCGATACTCTCAGTAAACTTACCTTTTAACTATAGTTGTATTTGTATAAATATGATTGACAATAATATCAACTAATCGGTTCTGATGGGTGTTTATTAAATTGTTGTAGGTCTCATAGTATTTGAGTATGCTTTTGCCCATTGGTGAAACAGAAAGCAATGTTTTTAGGTGAAAATCTGGAAAGCTGGAATTTCTCTCCAATAAGACTTCTGTAACAGTGTCAAATCCTAGAATTTTTAATGATGAATTTGCATCGGGAATAAATATTGGGGCCGATAATGCCGCTTGATCTATGATTCTGATATTTTCATTAGACATTTCCGAATTTAAGCTCTCTGTACAGAAGCGGACAGAACCTGTTGTCGCCTCGCTCATATCCTAAAATAATCAAAATATCATGATAAAATATAACATACTTATGGAAAAGTTAATAATACCCAAAAATAGCTGCACAAATACCAACTTTGCTTTTGCTTTTAAATAAAAACTCTCAGGTTTCAGTAAATTTGGATATCTTGTTTATTTTCAACCTTTTTTTTATATAACATAACCTATATACAGGGTGTTCGGCACATGAGTAGACATACGTAAATCTGAGATAGGTGGGGCCGTCTGCTATGCGGTCCACCCAGATATTTTGACCTGGGCCCTAAGATTTTTTTTTTAGAATTTTTTTCCAAAATTTCCAATTTTCAGATTTTAAACTGAAATAACTTTTTAATAAATCATGAAACTGACAACATATTTATTTTATTTTAATCTAGACTAATTCAAGAATCATACAAATTTAATTATTATTATTGGGGCCAATGAGAGCCACAAAGAAAAATACGGGCCCTCAAACCACAAAAAAGAGGTTTGAGGTCCCGTATTTTTCTTTCTCCCATATTTTTTTTTGTAGCTGTCATGGGCCTCAATTATTAAATTTGTATGATTCCAGAATTACTTTAGATTAAAATGAAATGAAAATGTCATTTTCCTGATTTTTCAAAAATTTATTTCAGTTTAAAATCTGCAAATTGAAAATTCCAAAAAAAAAATTCTTAGGGCCCAGGTAAAGATAAGTGGGTGGACCGCATAGCAGACGGCCCCACCTATCTCAGATTTATTTATGTCTACTCATGTGCCGAACACTGTATACTCAAATTTAACAGTTGATTTTGTACAAACGGAATGAAACATAAAAAAATCACAAAATTTAACACGGAATCTAATACCTAATGTATAACAAAAGGGTGTTTTCCCTTCAAAGAATCAAAATTGGCAGCATAACTATTTTTGATACGATGAAAAATATTTAAAAAAATATCCAACAAAACAGCTAAGTATTGGCATTTAGACCACCTTTTCAAAAATTCTACCTTTTTTAAAATAACGAAATTTATGTTTTAATCAATGGAGGCTTTAATAATGTAGCTACAAGTTGTATAAATTTGAATTATTAACATGTAAAATACCTTTTCTATTGCCCATTCTGATAATTTTTCTTGAAATAATAGCCTAAGACTTTTGGAATTATCTGCTTTTTCTCTTGGTTTGTGTATCAATAACCTCAAATTTTCCAGACGACAACCTTGCTCTAAAGATTTAATTTATTATCATTACCTATTATTTAAGCGTAAAATATCGCTCGCTTTCAAATGGGGGAGCCTACAACTTTTAATGAAATGTTCCAACTCCTATCAGCGGAAAATAAGAAACAGACCGAACAACTAACAGCAAGAATCAAGCAAAGTGAAGCTAACGTTACTAGTCAACTTAAGAAGAATTACATTAAAATTGAAAAATTGGAACAAAGAAACGTCTTGTTGGAAAGAAAGATAAGGAGAAATAACGTATTGTTTTTTGGACTCACAGTCGATAATCCAACAGAATTAGTGAAACTTACAATTTCAAAAATAAACGAACTTTTTTCAGTTAACATACAAGAAAGCAATATCAATAATATATTCAAGGTTGGCAAATCAGACTCTGCGCCAATTCTAATCGAATTTCTCTCGTACTTGAAAAAAGCGGAGCTCTTTAAGAACCCCGAAAAGCTTAGAGCACTAAAGAATACGCCGTATGCAATTTCCAACGATCTTTGTGAGGAGGATAGAAGGGAACTTAAGGTATTAAGAGAGCACCTAAAAAAAGCGTTGAACGAAAACAAACAAGCAAAAATAAAAGGACTCAAATTGGAAATTGATAGTAAACTTTATACGGCTAAAGAATTAGAAGACCTTTCAGATCCGGATGTGTCCTTAAGCAGTAGCTCAGATCTTGAGGAATCGAGCGAAGAAGAAAGTGAAGAAGAAGAGAAGGAAAAAGTGAAATCAAAGTCAGAACCCAGTATCGCGCAAACCAAGAAAAGCAAAAAGAGAAAACAACAGAAAACCCCTAGCCCAGAAGGAATTAAAACAAGATCTAATAAAAAGAAGAAAACTGCAAGAAGATTCTGAAGGCTGTATTACTTTTAGGCGAATACACTCATTTATACAGACTGACATTCTTCACTCATATCTCATAAATTTTCAATATTTTTATTTATTTATTAAAAAAAAAAAAAAAAAAAAAAAAAAAAAAAAAACATATATACCTACCTAATATAATTAAAAATTTATAAAAAGAGTTGCAATAAATCTTACAAATGGACTCATTCATAAGAGATTTTTCTGTTCAAAACATAAGGGCTGTAGATATCGAAAAGCCAAATAGTTTAAAGAACTACATTGACATCAAAAACAATCTAAAACTACTCCACCTAAATATCAGAAGTGTACACCAGAACTACGACAAACTTCTATGTCTGTTGAATCAAATAGGCTTCAATTTTGATTTAATTATATTAACAGAAACATACCACATCTTTGACGAACAGGTCTTCAATTTGGACGGATACAAAACTATATACAATAGGGGACAGTATAACAAGTGCGATGGGACAATTGTATTTTTGAAAAATACAATACCCCACACCTATAAATTCGAATACATCGGTCAAGTAAAAGCCATAGAACTAGAACTCGATACGAATCTAAATCATAAAATTTTAATTAAGTTGTATATACAAATCCCCTAATATCACCAAAGCAGAATTTATTAACGATTTTGCACAGTATCTTGAAATGAAAAAACATGCAAAAAACCATATAATTACTGGAGACCTCAATATGAATTTACTATCATTATCACCTGAAGACGAAGAATACAAAAATATTCTAAATTTCTATTTCTTTACGTCTTATATTAACACAGTAACTAGGCCTCAAACAAAATCATGTCTTGATCATTATTTCGTAAAGGTCTGTAATCAGGATGTTTTGGAAACGCCAAAATCTTTTGTATTGAAAATCGATTTAACAGATCATTATCCAATTGTTTTAAGCTTACCAACTAAAGAACTTAAAATAAATGAAAATATTCGACACACAAAAAAATATATTAATTATAATGCTCTAAAAACTGATTTAAACAAAGAAAACTGGAACATGGTATATACAGAAAATGATCCTAGTAAAGCAATGGAAGCTTTTATTCATGTCCTAACGCACTTCATCAAAAAACACACCCAAGAAATCAAATTAAACAATAAGAATTTCGGAAGAAAAACTTGGATCACAAAAAGCCTACTTAAGAAAATACAATACAAAAATGATTTGTACATAAAATGTCAAAATGCGCCACACAATGAACAATTAAAAGAAACATACAAAAATCACAAAGCGGAATTGAATAAAATTATCAAAACAACAAAAAAAAGATATGTACAAACACAGATAAACCAAAATCAAAATAAAAATAAAACTCTCTGGAATTGTGTAAACAATATATGTACCAAAACGAAGATTGAAAAAAATAAAATAGAAAATATAAAAATAGAAAACGGAAAAACCTTAAATAACTCAAAAGACATAGCTAACCATTTTAACACATATTTTACAGAACTGGGGCAAAAACTAGCTAGTCAAATAAATCTGACAGGCGATGACGATATCATTGAAAACATCGAACACTCTATTTATTTGCACCCCACAACACAAAATGAAGTAAGGAATATCATTACAGACTTAAAAAAAGGAAAAGCTCCCGGCATTGACGGGATTAAATCAGAAACATTACAAGAATTGAAAAATGAAATATCTTTTACACTTGCATACATTATTAATCTCTGTTTTGATTCGGGAACTTTTCCAGATATTTTAAAAATAGGACAAATTACACCTATACATAAAAGTGGTTCATTAGTCGACACAAGCAATTATAGGCCCATATCATTAATTTCCAACATTGCCAAAGTTTTCGAAAAAATTCTGAAGACTCGCTTGACATCATTTTTAAATAGATTTTCTATTCTTTCTGACGAACAGTATGGCTTTCGAGAGAAAAAATCACCACAAGATGCTATTTTAAAATTAACATCCCATTTGTATGAGTCTATGGATAAATCGAAACCGTCATTGTGTATCTTTGTTGATCTCTCGAAAGCTTTCGATACCGTTGATCACAATATTTTACTCAGAAAGCTTAGTTACTACGGAATTAGAGGTACCGTATTAAGTCTACTCAGAAGCTACTTAACAAACAGAAAGCAATTAGTAACAGTAAATGGTGTCGAAAGTTCTTACCAAAATGTCACGTGCGGCGTACCACAAGGCACAGTACTTGGCCCTTTACTTTTCATTATATATGTGAACAGCCTTTTCAAAATGAACTTTTTAGGAAAAATTGTAAGTTACGCTGACGACACTGCCATATTCTACACTAGTGACTCTTGGCAAACCCTTAAACCGACTGTTGAAATGGATTTTTTAAGAATTGCTAAATGGCTTGCTGCAAACAAACTATCGCTAAACGTAGCAAAAACAAAATATTTGAGTTTTGCGTCCTATGTCAGTGGTCTGCCACACCTTGGTTCCCTTAACATAAACCAAAACATTTTGATACCAGAAGTAAATTCAATAAAATATCTAGGAATCACATTAGATCGGCATCTAAAATGGGACCTTCATACCAACGAGGTAACCAAAAAATTACGATTCTTCATCTCGAAATTCAGACGGTTGAAAGATTTTTTGGACATCCAAAACCTTCGGACGCTATATTTTTCATTTATACAATCGCAACTAACATACGGGCTCTGTGGATGGGGTGGTGTTAGGGACTATTATATTGGCTCTATGGAAATTGTTCAAAAGTGGATTTTGAAAATAATATACCAAAAAAAGCGTTTGTTTCCTTCAGATGAACTTTATCAAATATCGGGCATATTGGATATTAGACAATTGTACGTTCAAAATATATTAATGAACATTCATAAAGAAAAAATTAAAATTGAATACCCTGCACATTCCTACACCACACGAGCTCGAAATAGAATGGCAGTTCCAACAAAAACACAAAAATCGGTTGGTCAAAGATGCTTTTCATATTATGCTCCAAAATTATATAATGCTTTACCTGAAAATCTTAAACAAAAATTCCAACAAAAAAATTAAATAAAAGTTCTTATAAAAAAATGGATTCAACAGACAGGACGACAAACATTTCACGAAATACTTAGATAACAAAATTAAATAATGTGTACCTACTTTTAATATGTAATTTATATATGAACTAAAATTTAAAAAAACCTCCGATTATGACTGTTTTACATGATTTTGGCATATTTACCCAATGTTGACAATGTTAAACCAGGCTAAACAGATTTTTCCCGATTTGTGTTTTCATTCTTGAAAAAGAAATGATTAAGAATCTCAATCAATAAGATAGATATCTTAATTTAAGATAGGTATGTTTAATAATTTAGATGATAGCTGAGTATATTATATTTAAGTATAGTTTAAGTAAGTAATATAGATAATAGATAGCTACATCACGTACAAGCAGATTAATTTCTGCTTCTGTGATTATTGTTTATTTGCTAGATGTAAGTTTTTTCCACTGTAAACTTGCTATTGTAAACTTAGTAAATAAACTTTATTATTATTATTATTATTATTATAAGCACAAGAAAACCAAGATTTTCTTGAAAAAAAAAATTTGGCATTGAAATGAGAATATGGAAAATGAGGACGAGAATGGGAAATGGAGCAGGGAAATGAAAATACACTAAATGGACAATTTAGAAATTTCAAAGTAAAGTGAAAAATAAAATGGAATACCTACCTACTAAATTATCAATAGTAATATAACTAGTGCAATGGAAATTATTGATAATTTTTGGGAAATTTGCCCGAATGCAGTTAAAAACGCATGAGTGCAAATTTTTCGAAAATTATAAATATATTTCCATTGCACGAGTTGTAATTAATGAGAGAATTTCATAAATCAAAAATTTGAATTTTTTGTCAAAAAATGTCAAAACACCAGTTTTCGCACCAGTTAGTATGCAATTATCTGATAATTTGCACTAGTGCAAATTATCGCGTAATTACAATCTGATTAGTTCAAATCAACAATCAAAACATGTCAATTCATTATTGGAATACCAGTTTTGACAGATGTATGAAATTATCAATTACATTTTGTGGCCTTTCCCATGATTTTAATAGTGCTTCCATGGTAGTAGGTACTATAAAAGACTAAATTAAATAAATAAAGCAAAAGGGATTTATGTACCTATAGGTTTTCAGAGACACCATGATTATCAAGTCGGTTTCAAGGAATGTATTATGCAGAAACAAATATACCTATTATCCGTTCACAATCCGATGTCCACAGGTAGGTACAGGTAAAATCACCTTTCAATGCTATTTGATAGGGAAAGGTGATAAATTTACCTGCACCTGTGGACATCGGATTGTGAACAGGATATACACCTGCCTACACCATTTCCAAATTTCCAAATCCAAGCGGCCCTACCTGGACTAGTGCGCATGCACGGAGGACATTTGATAGGTTCTAATGAAAATGACCAGTTATGTAATTTACGGCCGCTTGGATTTGGTTCAACCATAGGTACCTAGGTAATAAGACATAAGGTATCACAAACAATCTAGTGAAAAAATACCTACTAACTACTAACGACCCCATTTTATAATAAAAATTAGGTCGGCGCCAAATAGTCAAATACATAATTGTACGATAATATGCAGGTTATTGTCCCAAATTGGGAGTAAATACTTCAATTCAAGTTCAATTCTGTATTCTAGGCACCAAAATACACCGAAAAGTTTATATAAACATGGGTAAAAGTGGTTAATTGATCTATAAAAAAATCAAAGTTAAGTTTTTTGTAAAAAAATTACAGAGCCCTCAAATTTTTATTTCAAATTTTCAAAAATATGAATTTCGGGACATCTTATCATTATAATACTTAATACTTAAGTATATATTACACAGAACATAACACAATAATGGATAGAGTTTTAGGAGAACTCGAACCACTCTGCATACCTATTGCATGAAGAAAAAAAAAATGGCGATCGCGACCCAAGCCAAGGGCTATAAACCTTCAGGT